GGGGGGGGGGGGGGGCAAAAGCTCTTTAGCCCCAGGCCTGTCGGAACAGCCAGGTTTTAAGGGCTTTGCGGGAGGCACGAAGGGTAGTGAGAGTTCGAATCTCCACGGGGAGCTCGTTCCAGAGGGTCGGAGCAGCCACAGAGAAGGCTCTCCTCCGGGTAGTCGCCAGTGGCCGGCGGATGGAATTTGGAGGAGGCCTAATCTGTGGGATCTGATTGGTCTATTGGAGGTGATTGGCAGCAGGCGGTCTCTCAAGTAATTTATGCCTTGTTGCCAAGCAAACCACATATCCATATAGATTGATTCAAAGGGGAGTTTGCCTACACATGGCTTAAGTGCTGTTCCTTCCATTCAAAAGAGAATTGTACCAACTATAAGTACAGAAGGTTCATCCTTCTTCACACAATGAATCCCCATTCAACAAAGACAACAAAAATAATAAATCTGAGTAGTAATATCGTAAAAACATATGCAAAGCATCCTACAACATTAGCTCTAAATAGTAAAAAATTAGGTAAATATTTATCCTACCATATTTAATGACTAATGGCATACATTAATACATAGACATGGTACCAGACTACAGGAGCATGATTCTTCAACATAATTTGTATGAATTCATTTGTGGTTCTTACAGTTTCAGAAATAAAGAATTCCCCTGATCCATTGTGCCAAAAACACATGGGACACTTACTCCAGTAAGTGGTAAGATATCCTTGCTGTTTTAATCTGCAAGTCAGCAGATGTCTCTAAGTAGGTGGAAGATAGGAGTCCAAGGCGGGCTATGAGATGTCAGAGAAATTCAAATTCCAACACATACCCTCTCATAAAATTCTGTGAACTTCCTGTAATGGGAAATTAAGACATATTCAGAAAGAATATGTCAAGTGGCTAGTTAGCTAACAACAAAATTAGCAGATGCATTTTCCCATTAGAGTATTTCATATTTGCATGTAAGCATTATTTTGCATTATACGCTTATTCAGAATGACCTGCTTGCCTCAGAAGGAAACTTTAGCATTTGAATGAGACTTGTGCCTCCAAGTATAGGATGTACAAAGTACACAGTGAATGAAAGTGCAAGAAGCTCCTAATTAAATTATGCAGAGTGTTAGAACAACCCAAAAGACAGCTAAATTTATATTAGATTGCTAATATAGATTACTATAGATTATTAACCAATGGCATCACTTACTTGGATACAATCCCATATTGGTTGATGGCTGGGTCCATCTGTCCACTGGTGTATATCTCACAAATATTCCAAATAAAATGATAATGATCACTTGCAAACAAATGGCAAGAACAGGGAACCTGATCCGCATATTGGTGGAGAAAGAATTTGAACGGGGCATCCTTGCTGAAGTTTGGCAAAAAATGATAAGGACAACTCCAGCAACTTGCTGTTTGTTTTAAGCTGGGTTGCATCATAATGACATAGCATAACCTCCTGCTTGTAAAACGTCAAGCCTACTGAAGGAGGTACTTAAGTTTACTAAATGGTTCCTGCTTAGAAAACTTTTTTCTTATTCATCTTTAAGATTTATATCCATTCCTTCAAACGTTTCCCAGAATAGAAATTTTTATATCTATATAATGCAAGGAAATGATCAAACAAATCAAATGACTCCAACTTGTATTGTTTTAATATCATATGTTTGAATACTTTCTCATACATCTTGTTTAAAATATATAACAATTTAAATTAATACATACATTTGTGTCTAAGTGCAAATTGCAAAAAAGGCTTTCAATAGTGGTAAAACTACACATTGTGTCCACAACCATATGTTTTCAAAGATAAGACAAAAGTACCATTATAGACAGATAACACTTTTTAAAAAGTGTAAGCTTCCTTTTTTATTTTCTAATATACAAGTGTACAGAAATATACACATAAATATAAAATCAGACTTATTACAGCAGAAATAATGTTTGAACCAGTTCTTTTAAAATATTTTGAGGCTAAAATATATGAAGAATGGTTGCAGGAATTAGAGATGTCTAGTTTAGTGAAAAGAAGGACTAGGGGTCTAAGTTCCAACTTTTCACCCAAGTAGCTTTAGACAAAGGGTACTGTCAGGGCAGTTGTGGTTTCAATTTTTTTTAGAACCTCTTCTGTAGGTATGGCCTGCTTTGTGGGAGTGGCTTGCCAGCCATGTGACCAGGTGGAAGTGGCTTGCCAGCCATGTGACTGGGTGGGAGTGGCTTGCCAGCCATGTGACTGGGTGGGCATGGCCAACTTGTAAAATGTGGTGAAACTCACTTAACAACGCTCTTGCTTAGCAATCAAAATGTTGGCTCAGAAATTCTGGCATTTGAAACATGCAAGTCTTAAAGCTGTCAAGTTACAAGGTCCTTGCACACCTAACCCTTTAGAAAAACAAAACCCAGGGATGTTCAAACTTGACAGCTTTAAGACTTGTGGATTTCTGTTTCTTTGCATCTCTTTGCAAACCACTTTTCTTTTGCCAGTCAAATTTGTCTTCTGATTGTTTTCTGCAATTCATTGTATTTTTCTTTGTTTTTATTTTTATAAGAGCTTCTTTCATCCGTGAGATGAAGAATTTGTTGTTTTTTTCTGGTACCCCTCTCTCTGTTTTGAGTTTGTTATCTTTTAAATTTATTCCATTTCACTTCTACGTCTTCATTATTTAGATTGTTGGTGTTTTTTAAATGAATTTCTAATTCTTCTTTTATCTTAGCAGCCTAGTCAGTAACTAGAAATCAAGTAGTCTCATGATTAATTTCAAATAAATAGACAATGACACTTTTTTTTTCTAGGCATTTCAAATTCTTTTGTTTTAAAACAAATACTGACAACTGGCAGAGGGCTTGGGAGGCCTGCAAAGTGTTCCTGGGGGCTGAGGAGGGCAAAAATAAGCAAAAAATGGGGGTGTTTTTTGCTTGTACCCCCCACTAGCCCCCAGAACCATTCTACAAGACTTCCAAAGCCTATGCATGCTGTTTTTTGCAAAAAAAAACAGGCCCATTTTCACAAAAAAGGGACTTTTCTTTGCTCATTCTTGCTGCCCCCCCTCCCCCCAGCCTCCAGGAGCACTTTGCAGGCCTCTCAAACTCTCTGTATGCCCAGTTTTTCACAAAAACAAGGTATGTAGAGGGTTTGGGACGCCTACAGAGTGCAAAAACTTTTTTTTTAATTTACCTCTTCAAAATCTTGTTGCGTCTTATACTCCTCTGCATCTTATATTTCAAAAAATATGGTATTTATTTATTTAGTTAGTAATAAAATTCAGATGGGGAATAAACATGACAGACAAAGAAGGATTTAAATATTCCCATTTCCCAGCTTAAACAATCAGTGCTATACTTTCCCAGAGCTCTACAATTCAATTCCAGCACCATTGTTTTTAAAAAAGCATCTACTCTTGGAAGTCACATTAAATAAAAAGCAAAGTAACTTTAGAATAGTACTGTGATATATAGGGCGAACTCTTCATCCTGGTTCTCCTGTACTGTCCCACGTCATTAATGTAGTTTCAAAAAGATTCATGCTACCTGTGTTTTCAAAACACACTCATTGTTTCAGGCTAGAACCTAATCTATGCAAACTCACTCAGAATGGTTTGCAATTTAGTTGAATGTGATGTGCACCTCTTATCATATTAGACTGAGACACAAAAACTGGTAGGATTATCAAATTTAAACTAAAAAGTAGTTATTGATTTAATCTATTTAGAGGCTACTGATTCCTAATAACTGTGACTTACAGTTAAAAAGAACAAAACAGTAAAATAAAAATAATTCATGAGATACCCACAAATGGATATAAGCAAAAAAAAAATATTAAAAAATAAATAAGGATTCAACCATCAACCTTCCCAAGGCCTAAAACAGGTTTTTAATAACTTCCTGAATGCCATCAGGATAGGAGTCATGTGGATTTCTGGGAGGATATTATTGTGGAGCAGAAGTCCTGTGACAGACAAGGCACACTTCCTGGGTCTTGCTAGATGTTATTTCTTAATTGGCAGGACCCAAAGTGCATTGAATGTTGAATTTATTTCATTTGCAGGGAAGATAAGAAGGATTTTCCAAGTATAATGGTAAACATTAGAATTACAGATCTGTTTTATGTAAAACAGTATGTCGCATGAGTTCCCTATCTGTTGTTCTTAATACAAGATAGTTACTTACTTTGTTAGATAACCTTTCTTAGAGATCTATGAAACAGTTTGAGTGAACCTGAAAGCATAGGAACTTGTTGAATTATCAGAGTGAAAGGCGTTGCCAGTTTTGCCCACAAAAATCCATTCCTGATTTCTATAGCTTAGTAGTAAAATCTGGAGGAATAACACATTTTCTAGAAGAGCTAGGATGAACAAAGAATTTTGTCTAATGTTGTAGGGCCATTGTGAATTGTTAAGTCATTTTTGAACAACCACCACCCCACATAAACACACACACAAACTAAGTTAAGGTCTAAACTGACTGCATATAAGGCTCTAGATACCCCAAATATATGTTGTGTAGTGGTTGGCAGTATGACAACAGTAAAGTCTCAGGGTCAACTTCAGTGCTTCCCTTTGACCTAGAACATAATTTGGAGGGTCAGCTTTCCTGTTCTTTAATGACTAATGGATGTTGCAAAAAGAGTCTGGAAAATCAGTTCCTTTTAAAGTGAATGGAAAGGCATTTAGGATTTATATTTATGAAATAATATTTAAAAAATGTCATGGTACATATTTTCTGTTAATTGTTTTCAAATGTGGAATAAAGCACTAGGACTAAGGAATAGGGAATAAAATCAGAATTAATAAAATATTCTCTTTATGTTGTAATAAAGAGAGATTAGCAATGCTGCAGCTGTATTTTGCAATCTCCCACTGAAAAGGACACAGTTTTGCTGCTGCCAATATAATTCCTGCTACCAACATCATTGTGGATATTCTATCACTGGAGGTTTTTAAGAAAAGATTGGAAGCCATTTGTCCAAAATGGTATAGGATTTCCTGCTTGTGCAGGGGTTGGACTAGAAGACTTCAAAGTCTCTTCTAACTCTGTTATTCCGTTTTACTATTTCAAAGCTTATCAAAGTGGTTGCTTTTTGAAGGGAGTCCTTTGGCAAATCATCCACATCATAAGTAAGAAACTTGTGTGTGTGTGTGTGTGTGTGTGTGTGTGTTTATTTTTTTTTTAAAGCGAAGAGGTTACAGACTGATGAGTAATTTAAAGGAGTGTAAGACTGTTTTCCTAATTTATTTTTTCATAGAATTACAATAGGACCTGAATGGAAAACAGATGTGAAATGTATTTTGGCATAGAAAGTAGAATGTGAATATCCAGTATTTCTCAGCTAAGCAGCCATGCTACACTTTTACAGATCCTCACAGCTTCAGGCAAACATTTAACAAACAAAACTAATAAAAAGCGAGCTAACTATACAATAGTTCTGTCGTATATAGAGAAATCTCTTTTCCTTCATCTTTGATTACATAAATTCAAATACTGAAGGAAAACTGATGATCAATCTTCTTCAAAGACTCTCACTTTGATTGATGACAACATCAAATCAATCCAAAGTCATCCAGAACTGTTTGGGATTCAGCTGAATCTGAAATGCACTTTTAATCATACTTTGAGAAAGAAGTGCTGCTAGTATTTTATTGTCTTCTACTCAAAAGAAAACAGTTTTTGGCCCACTGCCATCAAACTATTAGAATCTGAGTCATAGGCTCAGTTTTAGATGACGCTCAAAACCATATCCCAACTACATTGTCAGAAACAACACTATCTCAGTTCCTGAAAACAGTATTTCAAATTCTTGAGTGTATGTCTAAAACTGCCTGGCAACTGGAGGTTGGTCCAACTAAAGAGGAGATTGCAATGGTTTCCTCAATATTCTTGCTAAATTTAATTTGATCTGGAAGCAGGTGCTACTGGATGAACCAATGACTTATGGCTTCTTCTTAACTAGAGAGTTATGTATAACAAAATAAATAAGGTCCTGGAGCTTCTGCCTGGTTGCAAAGTATTTCAGTCCATTCAAGATTTTCTTAAGCCTTCTTACAGTTGAGTTGTCATGAGCACAGGATATTAGCAGCTTAAGTGTGCAGTGACAATATGCCCTAAATCTAAGCCTGTAGTCCAAAAAAAAATCATAATAATTAGTTCCAATAGTTCCAATAACCTTGGAAGTGTCTCATGATTATGGAACCTTTTCTCAAGTTAAATCCCCTATCTGCTTTGCTGGAACATAAGTTTGCTACAACTCCTCTGAAAAGCATCCCTGGGCATGCTGCTGCGCCAGCCCCATGGCAGAGAGGCTGGAGAGGAGACAACTTGCTTGAGGAGAGAGACAGAGTGGTCAGCCTGTTCTGGAACTCTGGATCTTCAAAAGGTAAGTGAGTGATTGGTAAAGGGGTGGGG